CTCTCTCTCTCTCTCTCCCTCTCTCCCTCTCTCTCTCTCTCCCTCTCTCCCTCTCACTCCCTCTCTCTCTCTCTTTCTCTCTTTCTCTCTCTGATTGTTTAAAATCTTTTTTAAACGTGAGATACTTTAACGAATCCATGCTATGTTATACATACTGTACTTCATACATTCTCAAGTTGCCAATCGTCAACTATGTGTTTTGCAAAATTGAAAGTAATTAGTATTACTTTCAATTTGTTTGACAAATTTAATTGTAAAACTCGTCAATTTTTATGATGACATCTTCTGTCATTTAACACGCAAAAACCCAGATAGCCAACTGAGTGCAAGTTGTTGGCAACTTGCCACAAATATTGCTCATATGTTTTCAGCAATGTAACGAAATGGTGTATCCTCTTTTCGGTATGCTCTTGCCAGCAACAGTTTACAAGATATAATAACAGCAAGTTCCCAAAAACTCATCGGCAATAAACTTATATTATTTTTCTCATAAATTTATAAATAACAATTATTGCTCATATATTGCTCTCATATTGCTGACTCACTTGTCATAAACATTGGCTACAACAATTGATTGATAATAAAACTCAGCATATTGATACTGAATTGACAAAAACATTTTCGTTGCATTAAATAAAAACAACACAACAGCAATTGGCGTGCAACTTAATCTATACAATAATTTGCTTTATATTGAGTTTTCACATTTGGCTATCTGGGAAGTTTCTAATACTAATAATTTTGATGTAAATTTATATAAAACTGACAAATATATAGAAATTATTTCAAAATAAATAACAGTAATGGTATTGGTCTCTTATTACAACATACCTAGGACTTTCTACGTCGGGTACTTGTAGGAAATTCGAGCTCTTCGGTTTCTGTGGACTAAGCAATGTAGGCGCAGGTCTTGCGAGTAACTCAGCAACCGGTACTTGTGGACTCCCAAAGCCCGCTTGAATCCCGTATAACATTTCTTGAAACACTCTGAAATAAAGAAAAACCTAATGATCATCATAAAACCATCATAATTCATAAAACTATAACTTTTTTTCCACTTAAAGAGATAATTTTATTGTTTTAGTTTCTCTTATAAACTAACACTATTTTCTTTTATAAAATAACTCCAGCAAACACAGAATATAACTGCTATATAACATAGAAGTAACAGCGTGATATACGTAATATAACAGCTGTTATACTCTATTAACATCGATGTTATGTAACTTTGTTTTATAAATGTAATATAAGTATGTTATATATCTATTATATTGCTTGTTATTAGCTGGTAATGACATAACTTTCATATAACATTTCTGTAACTATATAACAATTATATTACATTCTACTTACATGTTATATTCATACCCAGCAAACAATTTGGTTGTCAGATGTCGCCAACCGCCACATCAAATCCATATTCATCTGTGTCCTCAGTAGGATATGGTTTTGATGAGTTTTGGTGACCATGTTGCAATTTTTGTGTCTGTGTGTTAACAGCTTTGGCAGCACACAAAGCATGTTTCCGTATTGTAACGTTTCTGCACACAGTTTCTGTTGCCAGGTCTGTGCAGTCAGAAATTGTTTGCTAGGTATTATATAACTGCAATATACACACACACGATAAGTAGGAAATTACAACTAACATGGATGTTACATACAACGACCATGTTATATTATTTGTTACATTTGTTTTATTACGACAATGTTGCTGTTATATATCTGTGTTTACTGAGACATAACTAAAATCTTTGAAAACAAAACACATTTGTTTTAATATTTCATATTGTGTGTCCAATTAATTAACCTGCTTCTCACTGCTAAAATCGCTCTAACACCGATGAATCTGACTTTTTGTTTCTGATGTCCGGATACAAGAAAAGATACATCAAACAAACTAGCATTTAGTTTCACGTTCGCCTCATCATTGAGAAATACACTAGTAAAGTCTCTCGCGAGTTGATCGTAATCTTCGAAATGATCTCGTACTGAATCCAATAATGGTGAAGATGGCCTCATATGTCCAATTGGTCGCCAAGAACCTCGTCTGAAAATTAAATTAAAAATTAATTAAAAAAATAAATATGCAGGTATGAAAAATGTTTTTTTTTTTTTACTTTCGATATTATTTCATTGAAAACATCTTACCTATAAGGTTTCGGAATTTGACCAGTTTCCGCATGATTAGCTAGATTAGCTACAATATCTTCTAACATTTGACTTCTCGTTCGTTCTTGCATCCTTGCAAATTTCGGCGCGGAATAACTTGCTCTCTCACCGTTCACGATTTTCGTTAACATCCATTCTCGGAACATTGGACCTGTTGTAAAGATTTGTACATTGCACGCATTTTATATTGATTGTTATTGCTCTTTGAAATAATTAAAAACGCTTGTTTTTAGGGGATGATTAATAATCATATCATCAACATAAGAAATAATAAAAGCAATAACATTTTTAAAATTGAAACAATGACCAAAAGTCATTTTTCATAGCTGTGTTAGTTTAATTTTGTTTATATAAAATTATAAGAGGAGGAAAGGAAAAGGGGATGGAGTGGTGGTGAAAGAGGAAGAGGATAGAGAAAGTGAGAGAATTTAAATATCTGGATTATGTCTTCCAAAAGAACGGGAGGAGGGACGTGCATGTTAGGAAAAGAAGAGTGAGGAAGAAAGCGGCAATTGTGGAGCAAGTGTGGGAAATAGGGAAAAGGAGATTTGGAAGAGACTGAACTAGAAGGGTATGGTTATTTGATGCGTTGGTTTCGTCAGTGATGAAATACGGGGTAGAGCTGTGGGGGTGGAGAGAATAAAATAATGTAGAGAGGTTGCAGGACAGGTATTTAAGGTGGGTTTTAGGGGTGGATGAAAAAACGCCGGGTTATATAGCGAGAGAGGAGATTCAGAGGGATCTTTTGAGGGGAAGGGCTGGACAAAGAGCTTGGAGTTTTGAGGAAAGATTGGAGAGGAGGGAGGGAAGTAAAATAGCGAGAAGGTGCTGGGAAGAGATAAGAAACAGGAAGGAAAAGGGAGAGGAGTAGTCTGGGTGGGAAAGAGATAGAATAAGGTATTATAAAAATAGAGGAATAAAAATGTCAGAGATAAGGGAGAAAATGGAAAAAAGAGAAATGGAGAGCGCAAGAATTAGTAGTGAAAGAAAACGAGATTCAAAGAGAAGATAAGTGGGCAAAAATAGTGGAGTCAAGATTCAATAGATGATATAAAAGGATAAAAAGAAAGGGAGTGCCGGGCTATTTGAAAAAAGGGTGAGCAGAAAGCAGGTGGCAGAGGGTGGCTAGATACAGGCTGAGAAATGAGATGAGGGAGGGAAAATACTGGGAGGAGGAAGATGAGAGGTTATGCAGAGTATGTGGCTTGATAGAGGAGGGATGAAAGCATGTATGGGAGGATTGTGAGGTATGGAGAGCGGAAGGGAATTGGAAGGATATGTTGGAGGTAGTGCCAGGAGAAGAAGGAGAAAGGAAGATATGGATGAAAAAGTTGGGGGAATTTAGGAAGAGGAAATCATGAATGGGAGAATAATGGAAAGGAGAATGGATGAGAATGAGAGAAGAGTTGAGTGGATGAGGAGGAGTAAAAGGAATATGGCTGAAAATACTGAAGCAGTCGTGATGGTTGGCAGAAATGGAAGTCCGAGTAGTTTAGAACGTATGTGTGTATGTATGTGTGCGAGAAGATAGGGTAGATTAGATTAGGATTAGGTTAGGTTAGGCTTAATTTTTGTAGAATTAAGTTAGTCAGTTAGAATAAGATAATTAATAGAGAATCTTTTGGGATCTGAAGTTTTTCAAACTATAAGTATATGTACCCAGTAAACAATTTGTTTGCAATTTGCCGGCAAATTGTCAGCAATTTTAAGTAAAAATATTCAACAAATTGGCATCAACTGTGTCCACATTAGCCCAGATATCCAAATCTGTCGAAACAGATTTTGCCAAATGCTTGTTACAAATTTTATTAGCAGAAAGACATCAAATATGATGCAGAGTTTGTTTTGTCTGGCAATGTTGCAAAATTGCTAGCAAAAATATATTCAAGCTTGTTGACAAAACATAACAGCAA